ATCATCAGTCATGGTGATCATCCTTTATTTAGTTAAGCATTCTCCTCCCAGGAAGGAATTGCGCTTAATTGTGTATTTCACGACTCTATTCTTATTGGCAATTATGCAAAGGAGATGGTGAAGTTGAAAGCATATTTGGCTGAAGAATTTGAGATAAAAATTTTGAAAAGTTTGAAGGATTTTTTAGCCATTGAGGTCAGTTAATATTCTGAGTCATAATGTAACAATCCTAAACTAAGTCCAATAGTGACGATGATTATAAGTTGAAGACCAAAGCTGATTGTGAAGTAGATGAAGTTGACAATGCTACATTCAAGATCATCTTTGCAAAACCAAATGATTTAGGTGAGGTTAGAAACTTTAAAAACCTAGTGAGCCCAATTGGTTTAAATTGGGAAATTGGATCTAATTTTGGGCTATGAATTGATTTGTAACATAGCTTCCGAAATTGTTTTTGAAAATCGTAGGATGTTTTCAAAACATTTTGAAGTAATGATATGGAGCCTTATTTAGGAATAGCCCCAAGTATTCAAAAGGCAATTTTAGCCTTTGTTTTGTCCGGAAAACCCAATAGAGATTGCCCTCTTGGCGCTTGCCTTGCGCTAGAGCGGTCTTTGGTTGTAATAGTAGTGAGCAGAAAAAATTCCAAAGAGTGATGCTCGCCTTTATCTGGCGCTCAAATGGCACTCATGTGATCTCTTCTGGAATGCTAAGATTATTCAAGTCCACTAAGTGGCACTGGCTTGGAGTCTGTTTGGAGTCTACAATATTTAGTTTCCTATTTGGAATTTAACTCTACTACAACATATTTGAGATCGTCTTTGATGACCGTAAGGGTTTCAATACTCCTTAGAACTATGAGAAAACTTGTGAGAGGGTTAACCCTTGCCTCGCAAACAAAAAGGTACCTTCTATATAGTAGATCTAGGATTCAAATACCTAGTTCATCAACACCTAGTAGGTACATAAACCTTCTGAGATTATTTGGTATGCATTGGTGAATTCCAAGGTAGAAGGAGAATTCCTTGGCAGATCATGGACTCAATTAAAGGGTTCAAGAAGCTCGCTGTGGAGTTTAGAGACTTGGTCAAGACAAAGAAAACATCTAACCAGAGAGACATGGTTAAGGTCTTAGTCTTTTAAGGTCTTGTAACGTACTTGAAGCTTAAATAGATTTGGTTGCAGGACAAAATCCCGTGGTTTGTTACCAATTGATTCTATAATGTTTGCTTGATCTTTATTTATTTTCATACAAGCAATTTTTATTCAATGTTTCGTTAAGTAGGTTTAGTTGACTCATACTCATATAGTTGAATAGGTTTTAATTTGGATTGGGCATTGATTTCCACATTGATTGCATTCGAAGATTCACTCCTTCTACACGTCTCATTTTAGCGTAGGTGGCAAGATCTAGACAACGTATGTTCATTTCATAACATGATGTAGATTAAGAAGAGGAAGAATTAGGAGATGAGAAATCGGGATAAAGAGGAGAACACGGCGAGTAAGCAATATCAATATTCAATAGCAATCAAAGTCTTCCTAAATAAATATCACATCTCCTATATATATATATATATATATATATATATATAGGGAGTACAAACCCTAAAACAAATAAATAGTTAAAATAACAAATAAGCCCCAAAAAGTAAAATAACAAGTAACACTTAATCCCTACATCTATGCCCATTCTAATGAAAGAACCCAACTCCCAACATTTTCGCCCAGCTGAAAAAAACTTGCCACCGAAAAGATATGATGGTGATGATGCTCAAGAAGATCAAGGTTAAGTCGACGAAACTCCTCTTCAACAATCCACGAAGCATCAGTCTCGGAACGATTTCTCCACCGAACAAGATAACGACGACATCCTCCATCAGATGAACTAAAAATCTGATCACATTTGTAATCAGGTTATAGATCTGTGGCAGAAATAGCAAAACAACCCGATTTATAGATGATGCTAATGAAGAAGCGACTCCACCTGTAGGAACACTTCAACAACACGAAAGACTCAAAAGTACCAAGATAAGAAAATAAGTCCTCCACATTGAAAATAAGACTAATACTCATATTTAAAGATAAATTAAGGTGATATACATTAGATCCAATCTTATGAAGAATATGAAAATGGCCAATGACTCAAGAATGTAACTTTTTGAAGAAACTTTTAAAGGTAGAGTTCAAGTCACACACGAACCATGATATAATCTCCCATATAAAAATCCTTATTCCTATGGTGAACATCAGCAGCCAATTTATAATTTTTATTATTTAATGCAATTTTCTGTCTTATGACAACATGAAGGTCACAAATATGTTGGGCAAAAGGTTCAACGAATTCTGAAAGAGAAGAAAAAAGGGATAAGAAATCAAGAGAAAGACGAGAACTTAGAGAGCAATCAATATCAATATTCAATAATAATTAAAGTATTCTTCTCCACGAGGTTTTGTGCGCCGATTGTGTGGTACCGAAAAAAGCCGTAGCTAAGCCACAAATAGAGGCACCACAACGTGGCGACAAGATATCAACAATAAGATTGACCAACGACGAAGTAACCTGGTCGTCTTCTTCGTGAAAAAGTTGATTCAAATTTTATTTTTCCAGCTTTGATTAAAAGGAAACAGGGCTTGTTTCTAGGTTGACCAAAGCTTGTGCAAACAATGGGATTCTAGAGACTGTTGAACAAATGATTCGGATGAACAATAACATTGGCCAGGCTGGATGCTTCAACAAGAATTGAATTTAAGCTCTGATACCAATTTGATGTAGCTTAAGTAAGGGAAGAATTAACGGATAAGAAAGAGAAGAAGAGATGAGAAATCAAGAAAAAGATGAAACTTGAAGAGCAAACAATATCAATATTCAATAATAATCAAAGTCTTTCTAAACAAATATCACATCCCTTATATATACAGAATACAAACCCTAAAACAAATAAATAGTCTCAAAAAGTAAAATGACAAGTAATTCCTAATCCCTACGTCTTCATCTACCATAATGAAAGACAATCCAATTTCCATCAGCATGTATATAGTGTCCTTGAGTAGACTGGACTGTTAGGGTGTAAGCCGATTGATACTCCTATCATACATAACCACGAGTTGTGTGGTGTTGAGGATACTCCTACTCATAGTTATTAGAACCGGACCAACGATTAAACCGGCAAAAGGACCAAATCAATGGTTCGCTAGATCAACCGCTGGGTCAATTCGTCGGACTAGTTGTATAATAAAAAAATTATAAAACATAATAATTTAGCTAAAAAAATATAAAACATGTCCATAATCCATATAATTTGCCATAAAATTAACACCGTAGGTTACATTTAGTTCAATTTTCAAGTTCTCCTTTTAGTCTTGTAATTCCAACCTTCAATTGATTCACACCCACACCTAGATGAACGGCTATGATTGTTTTCTACTTAACCTACACAATCTGTCACTTCTCTATCTCTCTCCCTCCGAATCTCTATCTCTTTCTTTATCTTCTATCTTGCTCACTCGAACTCTCCACATCTCTCTTCTCTAAGAAAACCAAATCTGGGCGATGGCACCATCACCACCAAATGACAACACAAGGGAATCGTGTCCCAAATCAAATCGGTGGCTAAGCAAAGGCTCTATGGAGATCAATTGTGCTAAGAAAGATGGATAAAGGAAGGGAGGTGCGTCATCGTCGTGCATGCGTCTGTCAGAGATCGGAGAAGAAGACAAGATTTAGGTTAAAATTGCCAAAAATAAGAATTTTTTTATTTTTTATATCATATAAAATTCGAACAACCCAATTTGATAAAACCATCTCATTCACGGTTTTTCATCAAAGGCGGTCGGTTTTTTGGTTTAGAGGCAATTTCGTTGCACAACCAATCTAACTAGCAAACCAGATCAGTTAAGGACCCGATTCACCGATTTACCAGTTGGACTGGGTAGTCCAGTCCAATTCTGATAACATTGCTCCTACTGATAGACTGGTAAGTAAATTTATTTATTTGTCTCATACTCATTCAAATATAGCCTATGGTAAGTTAGCGTTCACACTCACCTCATGAATCTCATATGGAGGCAGTTCATAGAATTGTGAGATTTATTAAGTTGGCTCCTAGTACTAAATTAATATTTTCTAGACATGATTACCTATAAATAAAAGATTAAACAGATTTAGATTAAGTCGGGTTACTCACCGACAAAAAATCAACTTTCAAGTATTGAACCTTTTTAAGTGAAAATTTGGTGACAATATAATAATAAATAATCAATTGTGGCTAGATCTAGTGTAGAGATAGAATTTAAAGCTATAGAGCATGGTGTTTGCAAATTATTGTGGTTGAAATTTATTGAAGGAACATGGTTCTAGTTTAGAGGAGCTGATGAAGTTGTATTGTGATAACATGGCAACGATTACCATTCCTCATAATCCGATTTGACATGTTAGAACTAACCACTTTGAGGTTGATAGACACTTTATCAAAGAAAAGTTGAATCTTGATTTGATTTGCAATTATTTTGTGAAGGTGGGAGATCAATTTGTAGAGATTTGGAGAAAATGGGTATTTAGTATATTTTCCTTCAATTTTTGATAGGTTGGGCAAGCACAATATCATTACACCAGCCTGAGGAAGACTGGTAGAAGTGTACTATTTTTAATTATAATGAAGGTATTTTTGAGACTTTAAGTCAGTACAAATATAATCTATCAAGGAAGAGATCCCTAATTATCTTCCTTCTCAAACAACCCCTTTTGTCTTTCTCTGCCTTTTTTCTGTCTTCAATCTCTTTTCTTTCATTGTTACAAATTAAACTAGTTCTTTGGTTTTAGATCTATTAGCCTTCTTCCCTTTAAACTGTCACCCTTGTTTGAAAGATTATGGTTACAAATTCTTTGAAGCTAACAAAGGTGGTTATTACAAGTCCAAAAAGTTTTTCCTCAAGCAAAAAGAAATCTTATTGAAAATGGCATGAGATCAGTTACTGAAAGAGAGAGCAAGAGTTTGAACAGCTGGAATAAGGTATCTATTGGGGCGAGGGGAGGGAGAAGAACGAGTGGCGTAATCAGCTTTGACTCCTAGCTCTTCAACAAGTTTGTCCGCCTATTTCATGATTCTTTGAATATTCCATTCTAATTTCTATGATGTTCGAGAAGCTCCAAAAAGAAATCCTTTGGGGCATAAGTACTTGTTTAACGTCCACTTAAGAGCACTGCAAATGTTTTGTAGTCTCGAGGCTTAAAATATTTGGGCATAGCATGCGTATTTACAATTAAATAAGATGGCACAATGTGCATATGCTACCTTAAACCAAAAGTAAATGGATCTTTTAAAATACTATAAAATTCACACTTACATACATCGAGATAGAATTTTGTCTGGGTGAGACACTGAAAATAATATGTTTTTAGTTTCTGCACATTATGTTTTCTAATGGGAAAAATCAAACTTTAGAGTGTGTCAAGTTTGAGCTCTTCATTATGTGCTCGCAAACAATAACACGTGCATAAAGACACAAAGCAGCAGGTGCTGTATATAAACTGATTGCAAATGAGGATAAATTGACCTCATTACTATTCTCTCAACTTTCTGGGCTATATTTCAAGTGTTCCTTTATTGGTACATAATCAAATACTAAAACATTTGTTTCCAAAGAACATTCAAAATAAACATTTTTAACAGCAACAAAAAAAAAAGAAGCTTAGAAAATATTTCTCCACCATTCAGCAACATATGTCCACCATAATAATCATACATTTCAAGAAGATTCTGCACTTGCTAATTAGAGCCAAGTCCTAAGGGTTACTAACCATGAAAAAAGGATAAATAACTGAACAAATAAACTTACTCGGGCAATGACAACAGAGCCAGGCTCAGGAACAGCACCATGGGCCTTGTGACCGGTAACTTCAACTGTTGGTCTCTAATAAATTATCAACAGCAAAAAAAAATTATGGACAATAAATAACTAGCATTCAGTGTCATTCAGAAAAAGCAAAACATAGTTTTTTTTTGCTAAAAAGAAGAATTATAAATGCATGACGTATAAGAAAACAGATGTAAAAAAAGTTTACAGAAGTCTACATAGGCAATTTGGCTCACCCAATAGTTCGGCATACCAGTTGGTTCCTTGAATGAAACAAAAGAGGACAAACTAAAGTACACAAGCTTAAAATATCACCACAAGAAGTGGAGCCAAGGGAAGAAATGAGGGTAGAGTCATCCCAATTTATTTACTGGTGCCCTAGGGTAAAATGTTGCAGTTGTATCTGAATTACTACAACCAGGTCACTTGTCAGGTGATACTTTTTCTGTGGTTACAAAAGAGTATGTTACATGTTTTTTCTTTTTTCTTTGCCATAAGTAAATGCATTGGAGGGAAAATACCATACGGACCCCCGACATTTCCAAATGGCACAAACACCCCTTAATATTTACAATTTCAAGGACGAAGTCGTTAGTAAGACTAACAATAAAAGATGACGTCAAAGACAAAAAAAGTTAAATATTTCCAAGAATACTCTCTATATAGTAAGCCTCTAATTTATAAGATCACAGTACCCTCAATTTTATTTGAATTGACTATTCTACCCCTAAATGAATGCATCCATGACTAAAAAATTTATGGTAATTATTGCACATGAATTTTAAAATTAATGGCATAACCCTGAAATTTTGATGATAAATTTCTTTATCCAATTTTGATGTAGAACAAATGGCAACTGATTATTTGAGGCAAGAAGACTGCCGCATGTCCAAAGCCCAAACGAAAGGCCAAAAGGTGATGGACTGATAGTAGAGACAAAATGGGTGGGAGTCGTGGGACTTGGAATTAATTGAGACAAGTGATGTTTAATCGGGATCAAGTCAACAATCAAGACTCGTCACTTCGCCATAAGCTCCTTTTGGGCCAAATTCCGTCATTGAGGCACTTAAAACCAATGTTGTCAGAATTGGACTGGTCATCGAACCGGCAAAGGGACTGAGTCAATGATTCACTGGTTAAACCGTCGAGTCAACTGGTTGGACCGGTCATATAATAAAACAATAAAAAATATATAAATATTATAAAATATAATAACTTAGCTATAATGCATAAAATGTACCATAAATTAATAATAAAGACAGATGGCAACATCAAATGTTTGCCTTTAAAATTGATGAATAAATGTTTGATCAGCTGGCATACACGTTTTTGATCAGCTGGCATACACAGAGAGAGAGAGAGAGAGAGAGATGGTGTTGTGGTCTTCTGAAAGAGTTGCTGGTTCAAAATCTACATATGAAATTCATCAGTTGCTTAGTAGAAATGGACACCCAACCATTTGGGCTATTTCTTCATTGTAATGGACTTTGTACTGGATTGTTCTATGCTGTATGATTTGATTCTGGGTTTTATATTTGCTAAAGCTTCGTCATTATAATAGTATCGATGTGTGATTTGAGGGAAATTTTTATTGGAATTCTAGCTTGATAATGGTATATGATTTGTTTTTGTGAGCGAGGCTTGAAGCTTGAAGCCTACTGTGTTGAAGGCTTGAAGCCCACTGTGTTGAAGGCTTGAAGCTGCTCCTGCTGGTCGCCAGAGTGGCCACCGGAGTTGGTTGCCTGTGAGTGAATGGAATTGAAGACAGTATGCCTGGGGCCATTGAAGACACTAAGCCAGCTGGGTCGCCTGGGGCCGATGGAATTGAAGAAGAGGATTTTTTTTTTTTAATATTATTTGAAATCCAACCAACCGGTTTTTTTAAAACTGTCCAGTTTACCGGTTTGATAAAAAAACCGGCCGGTTTAGCGGTTTTCTTCCAGTTCGACTGTTTATACGGTTCAACTCTAGAACTGGACCAGCTTAGGTCCCGGTTCACGGTTGGACCGATCCGACTGGTCCGGTTCTAGTAACACTGCTTAAAACTCCCTTTTGTCATTTTAGGAAAAAATTCAAAAATTCATATTAAATCATCGAAGACTCCAAATTTAGTGTCGTCAGTTCTGTTAGACTCCAAACAACACGTGTTTTTATGTTAATTAGTTAGATTGCAATTTTTTATTTTCGGTAATTTTCGTATAATTATGTTTTTATGTTATTTTTAGTAATTATGTTTTTTCAGTAATTTATATAATTAGTTAGATTGCAATAATTAGGTAAAGCCTGGAACTGGTTTGGGGAATCACTAGGCCTTACTTATATTCAGAGGGGGGTCTCGATTCTGAAATGGAATGATTGATAGAATCGATATTTCATTGAAGAATGACCGAGACCCAAAAATCCTTTCACACTCGTATGCAACATGTAGCTGAATATATAAGTTCATACATCTTTTATTATGGGGACGATTAGGATTTTGGTTGTTCCTATATATATTCCATTATGTAATACGAATTAGTCATTGAATAATATACCTTTTTCATAGATATTCTTGTGTTCATTTCTCTATAGATTCAGAGTACCTTTTTTTTATACCCTTAGAAATGGTGTTTTTTTGTGTCCATTCATTACCGTTGCGTCAATTGGTATCAAACCCTTGACTAACCTGGTGTGATACTCAATCAACGAGGTGTTAAAAATCTTCCTAATGATGGTGATCATATGAAGGGGCTCTCTCAAGAGCCAAATTCTTGGACTTCTAGCGATAGCAACAACAAAAATCCCAGCAATTCCAATAATCCTTGCAAGCACGGCAAGACATGATTGCTCCGTTGAAGATGGGTCCAAACCAAGATCTAGATCGAGAAAGGGTGAGTGGCGATAAGGCTCATGTTCAACCCAATCGACATTGAAATCCTATCTATCCAGCAAGACAGAATGTACGTGGTGTACCTCCTAGAGCAACACCCAGATTCTAGCAATGACGATAATAATTTCCAGGATAACGCTACAAATTACAAAGATCTTGGTCGTCAATCCAAGGATTTTTGGATCAAGGTTGACCTACCCAATTTCAATGGTCATCTTCATATTCAGGATTTCCTTTACTGTTTGACAAAGGTGGAGTGATTCTTTGATTACATGGATATTCCAGAGGCAAAGAAGGTAAGGTTGGTGGCATACAAATTAAAAGGAGGGACTTCTGCCTGTCGGGAGCAGATCCAACTCGCTCGTACCACGGAGGGCTGGCAAAACCATTACGTTATGGGTAACGGCTGCTTTTCAAAACCATGCTCTATATCCTTTATTAAAAATATCATTAACTACACATAGACTTATCAGTAATTCTAATCCCAAAAGATTAGAATTCCAAAGTGTCTAGAACTCTAAAAACTCTAGATCACTAAAAATTAGAAAAAAAAAATAAACTAGAACCAAAACTCTAAATTCTAATATATCTAATACTATAATTTAACCAAAAAGACGATCCATGGGTCAGATTATGACTCATTCTAGAAATTCTAAAAATTATAAAAAAAATACCGTTGAGTCTAAAAACTATTAGAAGTACATAAAATACTAATACTAGCAAATTGACTCAAGCTAACTTAAAATAAGACTCAAAAAATAATAATGTAAGGTTCCATATGGATCTTTGTCTTGATGAAAAGATAATTCCATTGTTTTTCACATCTTCAAATTTGTATTTCCTTGAGCATCTTATGGATTGTATCATTACAACTTTGAATGTGTTTTCTCTAACATCTTATGGATTGCATCACCTTTACATCCTTAAATATTGTCTGCAAGACCTTAAGCCTTCGCTTTTAATCCATCATATCCTAACCCTCAAAATAACACCATTAACCCTAAGATTACTGTTCATGGGTGGGGATGACAATGGACCGGAAAAAAACGGGTATTCGTCCAAACCCACCCCATTTAGACCGGAAATAAATCATACGTATTGAACGGCAAACGTATATGGAGATACCCGTATAAACCCGTTCGGGGATAATGGCGGATATGTATATAAATATAAATAAAAATACTCCCAAGTTAAAGCCCTAACTTACTCTTCTCTATCAGTCGGCTCCATCACTTTGTCTTTCTCTTTCCATCGTCACTCCTCTCCCTCCCTCCATTGTTGATTGCAGGTTTCCATCGTCGCTGCGACATGTAGTTTTCATATTCGGTGATGTTTATTTGAATGAGTGAGAGAAGTATAGATGGGTTATATGGGTATATAGTCAAAGACGAGGCAGAGAATGTTGCCAGCGATGCGACAAAACAACCCATTCGTAGTTATAGTCCTGCGAGTAATTCCTCAATCTTGGACAAGAACAGATCGATCAAGACGCCACTTTGCTACCTCAAAGATTAATTATATTAACGTTCAAGCATTGTAATCATCAAATCATTATTTGTAGCATTCCCAACTGCATTGGGATCTTCAGGAAGATCAAGACCACTTCAAGATAGCCCCACACGCAAACTTGAGTTTTTATTGGTTCTCTTTCTTCTTCTTCTATGGAGTTCAAAAGGTTTGTGTTAGGAATCAAGAAGAGGAGGAAGAACACACCTGATTGATGGTTGTAAGTGTTGTTCTTCGCAATATGTTCATTTGTGATTCTGAGTATTTGGGTATTTGACTATTGTGTTTTATTTGCTTTATTTTGATGTTGGTTTTGCATGAAGAAGAGTATTTTTATTATGTTCTCAGAGAGTTTCATGGTGTGTGTGCAACTAGCTTTGTGATAGTGCAAATATTTATGAGCATAAGCTTGTGTATATGAGTAAATGTCAAAATGGACATGAATTTATTTTAGATGCACTTTTTCATTACAAATTACAATTTTCCCTAAAAAATTATTGCCCCAAATTGTCAAAGACATTTCATTGTAATTATATGCCAAACTGGCCTTAAACAAGAAAAAAAAAAGCATCACTGTGATTTTGGACTTCAGAATGCACCATGAGTATTTTCAAAGTTCAAGTTGTATTTTGGACATTTGTTGTTTGTTATGTTGGAATATGTTATGATACATTATGTTATGTTAGATTATATTAGATAATTTAGGATGTTGTTAAATTATTTAAAATGTTGAATTTATTTAGAATTTTGGATTATGTTGGCTTGAACTTGGGCTTGGGCTTGGGCTTGGGCTTGAGTGGGTACAGGGGAAGCGGGGATAGGGACGAAAATTAAAAATTTACTCGCAGATGGAGATGGGGATGAAAACTATACCCGTTAACGGAGTGAATCGGGGATAGACAGAGTTTTTTTAAACAAGTACAGGGATGGAGACTACATCCTCCGCCCCCGCTTCGGTCCATTGACATCCCTATTTATAGGCATTATTCACATCATTTGAATAGTGTCGTTTTTTTGAGTTCGCACGACCATATAGCCACAACCACCACAATCCACCAACCACAATGAAGAGCCACTACCTCAAATGTACAACAAACTTACAACCATCTGTTACCATAATTTAGCCAAAAGTGTAATTAAATTGTACTGTAATTAGGGTTAGGGAAGAGAATATTAGGAAGAGCAAAGAAAAGATTAGGAGAAAAGAGTAGTGTGTTATACACGGCTATACCCAAATATATATATACCAAAATACCTTTAAGTTAAAAATACATAACATAACACTCCCCCTTAAGTTGGTACATAAATATCTCTCATGCCCAACTTGCAAACGCTAGGATGAAAAAACTTACTACGAAGCCCCTTTGTGAAAACATATGTCAACTGACTTTCTAATTTCAAAAAGGGCATGCAACTCAAATCTTTGTTCAGCTTCTCTTTGATGAAGTGTCGATCAATTTCAACATATTTAGTTCTATCATGTTAAACTAGAATGTGTGCAAAGTTAATAACCGCTTTATTATCACAGTACCATCTCATAGACCCATCAACACGGATTATGAGCCCACCTAATAAAATTTGGAGCCGCATAAGCTCACAAATACCATGAGTCATTGCTTGGTATTCAGCCTATGCACTCGTCTACCACCCTTGTTTTTAACTTCATCATGTAACAATGTTCCCTCCTATCAAGGTATAATAGTTCGAAATAGATCTTCTATCATCTAATGAACCTACTCAATCTGCATCAGTGAATGCTTCAAGTTTCAAGTGTTCATTATTAGAGAACAAGATCCATTTTCCTAGAGCTAACTTGAGATACCTCAAAATACAATAAGTAGCTTCAAGAATCATGCATGAATTGACTTGCAATCCCCACTACATCAACAATATTTGGCCGAGTTTGAGGGAGATAAATCAATCTTTCCACTAATCTCTAGTACCTCTCCTTATCCACAACATCACCTACACCGCTACCCCGTCGATGGTTGAATTCAGTAGGAGAATTTGTAGGCCTGCATCCCATCACACCTGTTTCCTTTAAGCAGGGCAAGAACATACTTTCTTTGGGAGAAAAAAATGTCTTTATCTGATCTGGCACCTTAATCCCAAGAAAGTATCTCAAGAGACCCAAGTCCATGATTTTAAACTCCTTAACCAACTGAGCTTTCAATTTGGCGATTTTATACAAATCATTCTCAGTTATCACTGTATCATCCACATACACAATGAGAACCGTTATCTTGTTATCTATCTATTTGATAAACATCGTATGCTCTATATGATTCTATCCATATCCAAATTTCAACATGGCTTTGAGAAACCTGTCAAACCAAACTCTGTGTGATTGCTTCAACCCGTAAAGTG